TTATTTCTCTATATACAGAAAGAAATGAACAAAAGCCATACCTGGATAAGGAGGAAAAATAGAAGAGACATGAGAGAAGAAAGCTGGGAATGGAATAGAGGCCAGTCTAGTGTTTGAAGATGGAAATTGTCTCAGTGTTTGTCCCAAGTATTTCTGAGACAGGATCTTGATACCCCCAGTGGAAAGCAGAAAAAACACTTGATGAATCTCCACTAATTTTATGCAGTTATATACCATTTGCCTATGATTAGGCCATTTTTAGATATTTCAGTTCACTAGTCTACCATTGGCCACACAGCTAAAAAACAGAGCACCCTTCCAGGGAAATACAGCTATAGATTTAAGCCAAACTCATATTTACTTTGGTGAAAGTAAGAGTTTTGTTAACAAGTCTCAGAGATGTATAGTAGAATACAGTGAGTAAAACAAGCAGTCACTCTAAGTGGAAAAATAAGTCTAATGTGCAATTAGTTCTATGGTATAGAGGCATAGCCAGCATCTCCAACAAGCACAGGGAAATGTGTCACTCCCCTATCCTGGGGATTGCAAGGTTGACCCAGACAAGCAATTCAATAGACACTTCCTGAACTATTGTAATGTATCTGGAGAGGATATTTGAACTGTATTTCAAGGATATATGTCAGTTAACAGGGAAGAGATTGTTCCTTTCAGATAGAATGAAAAGAACATGCAAAGCCAATTCCTGCCAGAAGTTCTCAGCATTTTGCAGAAATGACAGAGTTTGGTGTGGTCAATCTCTACCTGATAGGAGAGCAAAGTGGGCATTAATGGCCTGGAGCGATTGAGTCACAGTGTGAAGAATCAGAGGAGCAAAGTTGTAGGCATCAGAGGATGTGAAAAGTGTGGCGTTTTCTTTAAATGAGAAACTTCTGTCAATAGATATATATGCCAGGCATCTGTTGTGGTTGCAATGCAAAAGAAGCGATGCTTGGGTAGGAAAGGTAGTGTGGGGATGATTTCAAACAAATACTAAGGTTGTGTAGACCAAGAACAATTACCTCACAAATATAAGGGAGCCACGGGCTCCTTAAGACAACAATCAATAAAAATACTAGGAATTTATTGGTGAGAGGGAAGGAAAATTTTCAAACAAATACTAAGGTTGTGTAGACCAAGAACAATTACCTCACAAAGATAAGGGAGTCACGTGCTCCTTAAGACAACAAACAATAAAAACACTAGGAATTTATTGGTGAGAGGGAAGGAAAAGCTCTGTAGTCCAAACAGTAGTTGAAAGGTTCCCTTGCCATTAACATCTTGAGGACTCTGTAGGGGAAATGTACTTGGGGAATGGTAATGGGTTCTGATCTTTGGTTGTGAGTTTGGAAGACAGGAAAATGACTGCGTGAACATGACCAGTTTGGAAAGCAGATCTGCAGGTGAAGCAGAGGTTCAGAATGGGTCGGCAGTGTTGGAGCCAATGCTGTGGAGATTGTGAGTC